ATTTATCAAAAAAAGACTTCAAGTTTCTTATCATTTATCAAAAAAAAAAACTTCAAGTTTCTTACCATTTATCAAAAAAAAAAAAAAACTTCAAGTTTCTTATCATCACCAAATTAACACCCTCACAGAAAATAAGTGTCTCATCAGCAGATTGAAGGTGAGAGACAACCACATTATTTCTACCAATCCTCCATCCCCTGATCAGACCTTGTGAATCTGCTTTCATCACTAATCTGCTTAACACCTCTACCACTAGAGTGAATAAGAAAGGAGATCAAGAGTCCCTTGGACTAATTCCTTGCTTGGCTGGGAAGAAATCCTTGGCCACACCGTTGATGAGGCTTGAGTAATGAACTGAGTTAGCACACCCTTCAATCCACAACCTCCACTTAGCCCCAAAACCAAGCCTCTCTAAGATTTCCATCAAAATTTTCCAGCCCACTAGGTCATAGGCTTTCTCTATATCAACTTTACAAACCAAACCTTCAAAGTAATTTTATAAAGACCCCCAAACTCTCTCTTTTTCAGCACCAAAGCAATAAAAGTGGCATTAACCCCAATGAGATCTCCCCTTTATGAAAGAATTTGTTGAAGACTTGCAACAGGTCTGAACTCAAGAAATCCCAACACTCCTAGTAGAAAGCCAATGAGAAAGCCATCCAGTCCCAGGGCATTGGATCTCTCCACCAAGAACACTGCTTTGTTAATCTCTTGTAAAGAGAACCTTTTTTCTAACAAGTGTGATTGTTCCTCTGAGATTCTGTTCCAAACCAACTCTGACAAACTAGCACTAGCCCCAGCCGACCCAAGAAGGGTGCAGATTGACAGAACAAACAAACCATTGCAAATCTGAGGGGATTTGCAATGCAAATAAATGGAGCTAAAAGGAATTACTCCATTAGATTGAATTAAGAAAATGTGCAAGTCTTGATGGTCCCATGCCTTCTATTTGGCACCATTAGATTGCATTTCCAGAATCTCCCTCAAAGGCCCCATGATGTTATTCTATATATTGACCAAGATATTACCATTTCTTGATATATCACAAGAAACTACAATAAAAGGTTGTTTCCAAGACTTTGAGCCCCAATCACCCAAGTTGCAATAGATCAACCCAACCGTTGGGCCAAGGCCCATCCTCATCACAAGAAACTGCAATATATTATTTAATCATTTTGAAAGATCACATAAAGAAATGATAAAATGATGTCTAGCATACAAAGATGAAATAATAATTAAAAAAAAGTGGTGATGCTCTATTTATGTTTGGTTTAAAAAGTTAGAAATCTAACCTAAAAACAGAAACTAAATTTAACCTAACATATATTTCTGGAAAGATTGCTAGGTTGGGAATATTGACCCCTTTATATGAAGTGCTTCCAGATTTATTTAACCTGGTGTAGTAAGGAATGCTACAGAGGAGTCTATTATTATTAGGATCAGGTAGTATGGAGTCCAGTGTTGTGTCACCACGTTAATTAGGAAGTTGATTCTCTAGTCTGGTTGCTTGAAAGCTGCAAGCAGACCATAACCAGAGTAGGGGCAGAAGATACAACATTGTCAAATCTTTCTATGATAGGTTACTGAGCCTACCCACTTCAAATTCCTTTCCTTGGAGATGATTTGCAAGGCCCATGTGCCCACAAGGGTGTCCACTACAGCCCAAGACAAGATCTTCATCATCATAGTAGAGGCATGGTCCTACTTTTTGCTGCCATTTAAAAGAAGCATAATTTTGCCTAGGGACATCTCTATGTGATATCCTCCTGGCCAGCTAGAGGCATAATAGCCCTTGGGAAAGATTTTTCTTTTTCCTTTTTATAGTCAACAGTAATATTTTATATTCAATTCGGAAAACACAGAACCCATACCATGAAAATTAGACAGCAGGGGTATATAAAACTAGTTTTAGCTAACCATGCCACAATATTAATTTCTACCAAAACAGTATATTTATTTCATTCCCTGGTCCCAGCATTTTCATATGCACCTTGCCTTTTTTTTTTTTTTTGAATTTTTGATCGGTTATGCACCTTTGTCTTGTTACCCCAAATTTTTCTAGGTTTCAGTTAATACATTAGCAGACTTCTGAATCCACCTGAGCAGTTCAAACTTCTTCCTAATTGCTTTAGCCCTTGGGAAAGAATCTCCTGGAGCCTCTTACCATTTGCAATGTCTTTTTGCATATAGAAGGAAGGAAACTCAACATTTTTGTAGAAAAAAATAAAAAAAAAAAAAATCTATTCAACCTCTCTTTACATACCCACCATAGGGATCGGTACAATTAATTCAACATTTTGGATTAGGTTTATAGTTGTGTGAACCGTATTGCTGATATTGATCCCAAAAAGATAATTCTAGATGCAGCCTGCATGTTTAGTATGAGAACTTTTGCATGTGACCAAAAAGATAATTCTACATACCCCCATAGGGAACTTTTGCATGTTACCCAATGATGGCCCTGCCCATCTATGGTCTTTGTTAGCAAGTCTTCCCTTGTTTAGTTACATTTGTTGGGAAGATAATTATTGTCGGTTTATTATCTCTCTGTGTTTAAGATGCCACAAGAAGAGGCTTTGTAGCTAGAGAAAATTATTAAGGAATTTTTTGTGGGGGCTAGGTGAAGAAAATAAGTTTCATTTGATCAGCTAGGAGACCATGTGTAAGACAAAGGAGCAATGGGAGTAGGAATTGGTAACATTGAGAAGAATCACTGGTCAATAAAAAAAAAACATTGGGAAGAAGAACCTAGCTCTTTTGGGCAAGTGGTTGTGGTGGCCAGTCTCTTGCAATTCCTTGAAAAGTTTGGTTAGATCCTTCCAATTCTGATAAGTTTATTTGCTCCCCTGGTCAATCAGGTGCTTTTACTTGTGAGTCTTTCTTCTCCTCTTTCTGTTCTCCCCCATCCACTCAGTCTTTCCCTTTCAAGGAAATTTGATGTAAGCCTATCCCCCCCTAAAGCAAGTGCTTCCTGTTGGGAAATATTCCATGGAAAAATTGATACTGCAGATAATTTGCAATAGAGAAGGCCTCTTGTTTGCTTGCCTCCAAGCTTGTTTGTTCTTTGCAAAGCCAACAAGGAATGTTATTACCACTTACTCTAGTGGCCAGTCTCTTGCAATTCCTTGAAAAGTTTGGTTAGATCCTTCCAATTCTGATAAGTTTATTTGGTCCCCTGGTCAATCAGGTGCCTTTACATGTGAGTCTTTCTTCTCCTTTTTGTGTTTCCTTGTAAGCCTATTCCCCCTAAAATTAGTGCTTCCTGTTGGGAAATATTGCATGGAAAATTTGATACTGCATATAATTTGCAATAGAGAAGGCCTCTTCTTTGCTTGTCTGTTCTTTGCAAAGCCAATAAGGAATATTATTACCACTTACTGATCTCCTGTCCTTTCATTGCAAGTATTTGAGAAATATTTTTACCTTATTTGGGTATAAGTGGACCTTGCCTCTAGAATTACATGGACTCTTTGACCCGTCTACTTTGAGTTAGCCTAAGAGGAGTAAAATTCTTGCCTCTAGGGTAAGAAATGTAAGAATCTTTCAAAAAACAAGAGATAAGTGTGAAAATTCTGAAGTGGTAACGAAATGCATAGTTACAAGGGTGATTCACTGGGTCAAAACCTTGGATATGTTCCATCTCTAGGTGATGATTCCATCCAGACCTATCTTTGTTTTTCAATATTATATATTATGCATTACAGGGGATTGAGGGGTGGGGACAGGGCAAAGTGCATGTGAGGTCCACTAAACTTACCACGGAAAGCCTGCTGCCTACAATTAGACACTGATCCCACAGCTCCAATAATCAGAGGGATGCCAAGTGACCTTCTCAGTTATGGAGTCATTTGCAAACCTATCTGGAATTTACTTCAATTAGCTTAATTCTTTGTTGAGTCCAAATTTGTTGATTTTTTTTTTTTTGATAAAAGCAAATTTGTTGAATTTCTGTTTTATCATTCCAGGTTTTTTTATTGTTCTTATGTTCTTAACTTCTTATAGCATTTTGGATTATCTCCTCAATTTCTTCATGCATCTGACTCCAAAATTATGAAGCTGCTGACTCCATATCCAGCCGCTGACCTATGGAAACCTAATGGTATCTGGAATTTACTTCAATTAGCTTAATTCTTTGTTGAGTCCAAATTTGTTGATTTTTTTTTTTTTTGATAAAAGCAAATTTGTTGAATTTCTGTTTTATCATTCCAGGTTTTTTTATTGTTCTTATGTTCTTAACTTCTTATAGCATTTTGGATTATCTCCTCAATTTCTTCATGCATCTGACTCCAAAATTATGAAGCTGCTGACTCCATATCCAGCCGCTGACCTATGGAAACCTAATGGTGCTGACTCCATACGACCTATCTGGATTCTGGAATTTACTGCAAGTAGCTTAAATTTTTCATGCCTCTTCTTACTTCCCCACCATTTTTCCTTTCTTCTCCTTTGCATTTTCTTTTATCACTTAATTTTTGCGATCCTCACTAAGAAAGTACAGCATCCATTTTCCTAGTTCTTTCTTTTCTTTTCTTTTACTTAGCCAACCTGTTAACTCTATTTGAGCTCATTTCACCCATTTTCCGATTAAGTTTTCACTTTTTATGGTGATTATTCAGCCTCTTCATCCTGTCCAGCTCACTTTAATGGGAAAAACAAGTATAAATTTCAAACTAGCAAGCTAAGGACTTTGTGGACCTACTTCTAACTTGCTTAGGACCCATTTTTGCCCCTAATTAGCTGCTGTTTGGATGAGTCCTACATCACCTAACCTTGACATTTTTGTGCAAAATGGTCACTCTCACACTTGAACCCATATTTTCACATTTGTCAGCCCAAGAACTTAGCATTGCACAAAGCAATGGTCCCTTATGAAAAGTACATAAATACAAAAAAAATAAAAAAATACCACTGATAGTTCATCATGTCAAAACACTAGTATACCATAGCACATTTTGTGGTAAAGGCTTCAGAATGGACAAAAGAAGAACTGAAGAAATTACCAATACAAACTCGACAAAAGCAATACGGGTAGAATGATGATAGTCACCCAGCAGTCTCAAGCGATAAACCTGCACCATAGAAGACATAACCCATATTTATTTTCTTACCAAACAGGGATATCACAATTAATCCTTGTGTTTAATTAAGTAGAATATACAAACCTCTCCACAAATTGATTCAAAAAAGAGTTTGACATCTGCTTGAGAAACCTACATCAAATTAACAAATTCAGAAATGAGCATGTCATTACATTCTCTAAATGACATTCTACAATGATATAGAAATTTTAAACAACCTTCTTATCAATATTTGTACAATAAATAGTTCTTGCGCACATTTCACGTTCATCTTCAGACTGTAAACCACATAAACCATTAGAACATAATGAGAAAAAATATGAACTAGGAGTATGATCTCTTAAATTCAAATATATGGAAAATGAATGAAGCACTATCATCATATAGAATGGTGCAAGCAACCACAGTTGCAGACTTTCTCACCCTTGGCAAAAATGTTGGGTTAACAGGTGCAATTGCAGTTTTTGAGGGAAGCACCCTCACTGGGTAATAACCAAGCATAGTTCCTGCCAGACTCAACGCAGCCCTTGCACCCTCTGAATTGTCACAGAGCAAAAAAGTATAAATAACTACTTGTTCAAACTATTGCAACAAAACAAAAAGTTCATCAAAAATGCAAACCAAATAGCCCACTGAGGTCATGAAGTTTACCCTCGTCAGTAAACTCAATAAAAGCAAAACGAAGAACGGAATTAGGATCACCGCATACACGGCAGTCAACAACCTTCAGCCCAAAAAAGGGGAAGTTATTCAAAGAAATAAGTCACCATTACGGAGTAAAAGCAGTATAGAGTGGCAAAAAACATGGTTACCTGTCCACAGTTTATAAAGAGTGCCGCAAGTTGCTCTTCGGTGACCTAGAACAAAGTCATATTTTAGTCGAAGTGTTGATGAGCAGGAAGAGAAAGAGAAAGAAAGAGAAAGCGAGGGAGAGGAAGATTGGCAGGCCAACCAAGTAAATGTAATTGCTTACCTGTTGATCAATATCAGAAACATAGACAGTCCTCCTGATTACCTCTTCTCGCTGCGCCATACTTGTTCTGCTGTTCATTCTCCGCTTCCCTTGACTGTAGTTATTCTTCTTCTGAACCAAGAGAGGTTATGGGTGAAGGTACAAAAGCAATGATAACAAATATAAAAGAGGTTAAAGAAAAATGGGACTTGTAAAAAAAGATAGAACGAGACAAAAGACGTGGACAGAAGGAACAGAGAAACGTAGGCAAATAAATCAAGGGAAAGCAGTTTTAATCCTACCCGGCGGCCGGCGTTTCCGTTGGCATTGCCGTTGACAGTGTTATTGGGCATCAAAAAGCTGTTAGTATGAAGGCCACCGCCTGATCCATGGTTTACAAGGGAAGGAGGCACGAATTCTTCAGCCATAGGATTTAACTTAGAGAGAAGCTCCTCCAAATCCCTGATATCCTGCTTGTAACCCTCATCAACCTCCCCATTCCTCTGCAAATCGACACCATTTGATCGCTGATGTGCCTGCACAAACCCAGACTTTCCCGGTGCACCATGCTGCGGCGGCGTCGCTCCCCCCTGCACATTTTGCACAGCGTTCTTCGGCACATGGTCAGGGTTGTGCCGAACCTGTGACAGCTGAGGCTTGTGGTTGCTAACATGCGCCACGGGAGCTGCCCCCCTGTGCTGCGACTGCTGCTGCTGCTGAAAGGAATGAACCTTCATGTGGTATGGTTGATCATGGGGCCGTAAAACTGAGTTATTATTGTTGTCTTGCTGTAAAGTAGGATCGGTCATTCTCGCGACTAAATGATTCTGCTTCGGTTGATCCAGATCGTTGGAAACGTGCGAATCCGGAACGGCAGCTTCGAAATTCCGGCTTGAAGAACCAACATTAATCCCCATATCGACACCAGCATTCTCAACAACCGCCATGACCGGAACACCACGATAAATGATTCTTTCGGAAATTTCTCTGTGATTTCTAATTTGTTTATTTTTATTTCCGATCGTTGGATTGAACAGTAAATTTGCCCTAAAAAAAAGCAGAAAATGACCCCAAATTACATTTGTGAATGAAAGTTTACCTGCTTCTCTAAATCGTCTTCATTGATCAAAAACGAAACCTCCTCTAGATCGCTTTGGAGAAAACTAAACTCGAAAATCTTCTGCAAAACGAAGAAGGAAAGGGAAAACAAAGAAATGAGACACAAAAGGGAGAGAAACCTTGTTCAGTTTTCTCCTTTTCCCTTTATTTTATTTTATCTCAATCTTCTAATTCTACGCAGAGAGAGAGAGAGAGCAAGCGAAGTACTTCGGATCGTTCGTTTTAGTTGAGTAACCTTTTTGGACCTTCTTCACAACGTCCCAAAATGAAGACGACCCCTTTGAACCCAAATATTTTTACCCAAAACCCTTGATGGGCTATGAACTTTTTTCACAAGCAATGAGTCGTGAACTCACGACTATGCATGACCATGACATAAACCATTACATTCAGATGTATCTATGTATGTATGATGTTTTGTTTGCACATATATGTTAAATTCACGAGAAGATGTTTCGATCCTGCGGTCAATGCCTGTGCTATCAGAGAGTGTGTACTGAGCTATTATCACTTGGAGGAGATCTCATCGGCCGTCGCATACACCGCTATAATGGTGATGATGGTGCTGATGAGGATGATGTTAATGACAAAATGCCTACATTCATTGCAGAGGAGGTGGTGACGTAGCTTCTGCTTTGTATTTTCCGCACGAAGCAAGAATGCCTCTGCTTCTGCCACGTGTACACATGCAATTGATTCAGTACTTAAAACTTGAAAGAAAGAATGCCTGCTGGGCCGGCACGGCATGCCCGCCAGCTGCCCGCGCAAAGTGCGGACCGTCTTGGTCCGTGCCGCCCTCTACAGGGATAATTTGGGGTCGGCCCGGCACGGCCCACGGCTTAAATTTGTACGGATCCGTGTTATGGGCTTGGGCCGTGTTAAACTGGGTCACAAGCCGGGCCTTAGGCATGGTCGAATCAGGTCAGATTGTGTTTTTACATTTTTTATTTATTTGTTAAGTAAAACTAAAATATTTAATTTTCCTTTGAGAACTATTTGAAAAATAAGAAATCTAACAAATAAATGGAAAAAAAAATACTTAGCCAAATAAGAAGTCAAGGAGACAAAGACTCAAAGTGAATAACAAATTGGAAGAAAAATAGGAATTTTATTTCATTTAAATTTGAATGATACAAAGCATACAATGGTTGGATGAATGAAATATGAAAATTGGAAAACAGAATAATTAGTAAAATAAAAAAAATTCAATATAGTTACAAATTGAAAATAAAAATTACGTTATTAAAAGATATCAAATAAATTAAATAAAATTATAACAAAATTTATAATAATTTGAAAAATGCTATGCAACTATTGGGTATACAAAAAATATTGACTTCATCTTTTTCTTCTATTGTTCTTAACTTTGATCATATGCTTCAGGTGAAACATCAAGTGTAGTGTCATGCCCTCCTTTGTCTTGTAACATATCTTCAACATCCAGCTAATCTTTAAAGCAGGTACACATCTCTAGACTTTCATCATTCATACAGTTTCTCATTTTCCAATACCCTAGTACCTACATTAAAATAAGACTCTGATGGAACTATAAACATTTGAGGGGTTACTAGATCGTGTGCCATGCAACGAGAACTGGATAATTTTTTGCATGTTTACTCTCCACCAAGCTAAAATATCAAAATTATTTATTCCCTCCAAGGTGAAGGAAGAATCACTTAAAATAGACAAATTTATTTGTAAATAAAAATTAAGTTCAATAAATGAACTTATTGTCAAGGCAGTGAATTCTGCCTCTTACTTATTAAATAAAAAAGTTTTTCTCTTCCACTATTGGACTCAAGTTCAAAAGTGGAAGATGCAGTTGTACAAGTTGTAAAATTTTTATTATTCATTGTTACTTAAGATTCATATAAACTATACATTTCAAATAATAAACTTTTTTTTATAAATGAGAATAGTTTTATTAATTCAAAAAATAGTAGTACATTCAGCCTAGGAAGAGGCACGAGGTGTTACCTCCCCCTAAGACTGAGCCATAAACACTAAACAAACACAAGCCTGAAAGGCAATCACAAAGTAGCCCAAAACATATCTCCCCTTGACACCCCTTGCTTGGCCAAAGAATCAGCCATTGCATTTGTTGATCTGCTGACCCATTGAAACCTGATTGACATATTCCTTGTCAGCCATTTAACTTTCTTTAACAAATCCCTGTATCCCCAACAAGTTGTATCTGGACTTGTCAACCAACCCACTACTACCTTGGAATCCCCTTCTACTATCAAATTATTCACTATAAGTTGACTAGCCATCTGTATACCTTGTACCGCTGCTAGTATCCCTACCCTTACAGAATCACCAACACCCATTTGGTCTTGAAAAAAAAAGACAACATGTTATCTTTGTCTCTCAGAATCCCTTCTATTCTAGATGGCCCTAGGTTACCTTAGCAGCTACCATCAAAATTCAGTTTTACCACTCCATACGGTGGGGATTCCCATTCAGCTTGTGATTTGTTCTTTGTGGAGACTGTAGAAGCCACAACTGCCCAGTTTCTCCTTAAGTCATCAAAGGAGTAATCTGCCAACAAGTGTGAAGAGAAGATTTTAGCCATGAGACTGTCCTTGTCATTATGCATTCCTTAATTTCAGCAAGACTTCTTTCCTTTTCTTGAAATTTTCTAGCATTTCTCTCCTCGCATAAAGTCCACAAAGTAGTGGCTTTGATACATTTCCACATTAGCTTCCCTTTTTTTGTCAGATAATAACATATTAATTTCTTCTTTTTATTTTCAATTTCAATATTCATATTTTCATAATATGTTTCAATTAAAATATCTAAACCATCTTTCCTAATCATAGGATCTAATATTATAGTTAAGCAACAAAAATGAGAAATGTTCTCCCAATATTTTTTAAATTTATTTTCAATTATTTCAACAATACTTTTAAATTGTGGATTCTTTCTATATTTTGCAAAACAATCACTAATCATCATTAATTGATAAGCTAAATTACAACTAGTTAGATTATAAATATCTGATAATTCATTAGTTGCATCATAAAAAATGTTTTAAAAAACCTCTTATACAAATTGTCATTTCTTAGTCTTCCTCAAATATAATATTAGTAGGCATTTTTGCATTATAAAAATCACTAAGAATTTGTTTGTGAGAAATACAACTTTCTAACATAGCGTATGTAGAATTATATCTATGTTTAACATCTAATATAAAATGTTTATATTTTAAACCATAATTTTGACATAAATATTTAAATTCGTGTTTTCTTCCTCTAGAACTTTTAATTAATATAATTTATAATTTTAGAAATATGAGTAGAAATAATATTTAAAGCATCCTAAATACATAAATTTAATATGCGACATGCACATCTAATATGAAATAATTTACCATTTCAACATGGTTTTAATTGAGATTTTAAAATATTTATTGCTTAATCATTATTACTAGCCTTATCAAAACTAATAGAAAATAATTTATTATCAATTTTATAAGCATGTAAAGTATTTAAAATATTTGTAGCAATAGTTGTGCCCATTCGACCCTAGTAAAACTTAAAATTCTTTTATTTAAAAGCCAAATTTCATAAACAAAATGATTGATAACACAAATATAACTTGTGTTAAATTTGGAAGTTCAAATATCAGAAGTAGTTGCGACTTTAGAATTAAGATTTGATAACATATTAATTAAATTTTGTTTATATGAATAAAAAATTACCTAACCATTTTTAAATTGTGGATTCACAAAATTACCTAACCATTTTTCAAGTTTAGTTTCTTTAACTAACAAAAATGGTTGTTCAGCATGTATAATGTATTTTACTAATTCTTGCCTCATTTTTTTCTTGAAAATATTTAAAAGTTCCAACCCCCCACCCAATTTTTCTAAACTAGGCTAATCAATTTAATGGCCTTTTTTTCTCTTTCTCTTAGTATCAGTACTACAGGTGGAAGTTCCATCAATATCAATAGCATCCATATCAGTGCTAATACTACCATTCTACAACTAAATATCATCGGCATTGAACATGTTAGGGAATTGATTTTGAGAGGAGCCGGCCATTTTTTTTTAATTATAAAAATTAGTTTAATTGTACTTACCCGGATTGTCAGTTTGGAATCCCAACTAGATTTCAATGGTTGAAGCCTTTCAATTCCAAGAATCCAAGCCTCCCTAATTGCTAACTTGAGAGTTGAGATATTTGAGTTGTTGAGCAAGCCTTCTTCTTGTTGAAACTACAATAAAATTGAGAATTAGAGAATTATATAATGTATGAGAGATTGAAACTTGAAAGAGTATGAGAACTAAAGAAGAAATTAAGAGAATTGTTGAATTGGTATGATGAGAATGGTGGAGGATAAGGCTATTTATAAGAATTGAAAATAATTTAATTGCCCAAAATACCCCCAAAACTAGTCATTTTTTAGTTGTTGGGAGGGGTATTTTGGTTATTATAAAGTAATTTATCATTATACCCAAAATGCCCCCAAACTAGTTGATCTATAGCTATTGGCGCGATTTTTTCATTCTTTCTACCCCAAAACCAAAATACATAAATACCCCCCTATATAGTTGTTTATAACTGTTGGGGGGTATTTCTATAAAAAAACCCCCAACGGCTAGTGATGCAGCGCGATCCGGACACTCCTAGCTGGCAGAAACCTGGCTTCTAGWTGGTGACGGACGGTACCTGAGACGAAGAGGAAAGTGAAGAATTCCCGAGGAGCTCGCCCGGTGGGAACACTCCGATGCTTAAGTTAGAACTCTGAGAGAACTATAGAGAATGCAAAGAGAGAGATAAGAGTGCAGATGGCACAAGTTCAGTACCCGAGGTAATCCGAAATGACACACTATGCTCTTCTAGAAGAAGTTCTGCACATTCCGAGCTATGATTGTTGTGAAGGGGTTCAGCCTCAACCCACTTAGTAAAATAATCAACTACCACCACTAGGAACCTTCTTTGCCCTGTTGTTGGTGGGAATGGCCCGAGTATGTCGAACCCCCACTGTGCGAATGGCCACGGGTTAGTAAGATATTTTAGGTCGGCGACAGGCTGGTGGTGGATGTTGGCGTGCTTTTGACACTTGTCGTATTTTTTGACGAGCTCGGTCGCGTCTGCCTTCATCGTTGGCCAGTAATACCCCTATCGCAGTGCTTTCTGGGCGAGGGCCCTGCCCCCCAAGTGTCCACCGCACAGGCCCTCATGAGTGTTGCGGAGGACGAGCTCGGCCTCAAAGGGTCGCAAGCAGCGCAGATAGGGGAGCGTGTAGGATCTTTGGTACAGTCGTTCATCTATCACGATGTATTTGGCTACCTGACGCTCTACCCTTCTGGCGGCATTACG